ATATAATATAATATAATAACAAAAGTTATCTGTAAATGCCTTCAGGGGAATTAAAAACCCAGATAAACACAGGTTGTGTGTTTGTCAGCACCATGGACAGCTCCATGAGGTCACCTGACGCTCTTTAAACTACCATAAAAAAAAACAACAACAACAACAGTACTAGAAACCTGTAACAATCATCTCTTACCTTGTTGACCTCCTCACAGAACTTCCTCACTGATCTGAGAGAAGCGAGGTCCAGATGTTTGACCACCACCTCGCCCTGCTCCGGCCCCGCTTCTCTCCTCATGTCCCGGGCTGCGTCCTCCGCGCTCGGCAGGTCTCGACAAGCCATGATGACCCGGGCGTGGAGCTTCAGCAGCTCCCCGGCCAAAGCCTTCCCTATCCCGCTGTTGGCCCCGGTCACAATGACGGTCTTTCCTCGCATGGCGCCGGCCGGATACCGGAGCAGTTTGGCAGCTTCTCGTCGGGGGAACAAACGCCGCATAACGAGCAGAACCCCACCGCCGACAACAGCGGCTATTAGCACGGCTGTGGACATGGAAGAAGAACCGGTAGCAAGTCTGCAAGGACAGAGCCGCTTATTTACAAGTTACAAAATTAACCCGGAAATAAATAAACATGGGCGCGGCCATGTTGAATGGGACGTGAGACCGTAAGCTCCGCCCACTTTCACTTAGGCATTAAAAGAAACATTTTTAAAGCATGGTAAGCATTAAATTTTTTATTTAAATGATTTTATTTAAATTTATTTAAAGGATCTTAAAAAGTGAGCACATGGCGAAAAAAAACCGTATAATTTTGAGTTGAATTTAGATAACTAGCCTACAGGGGGCGGTCGTGTCCGCAAATACTCTGGGAAGTTACATGTCGATGAAAAATGTGTACTCTAAAACGTTTTTTTTTTAAATATAAGAATTTAAAAAATATCATAAATTTAGCCTGACTGATATTTCAAAGTTTGTGAGGTGAATGTTCACAAGCTTTTTAACTATTTAGGCTTTTTGAACCACACTTCCGGGTCGTCTTTATGGGACCACATTAGACGGGATACCAAACTCCCTATTACACTTTGTGTAATCTTTTCCCGTTGTGTGGGGGTAAAAATGAAATATATCGCTCATTTCACAACTTTACCAATATTAGCAAAGATTGTAATTACTGCAGGATTTTTTTTTTAAATTCCAGGCTTTTTCTGTTTGACATCATGTATTTCCGTATCTTTTGCTACTTGTAATGTATAAAAATAGCCACTAGATGGGGCTGTTGCAGTAGAAAATGAAGCATAACAGCCTGATAAAGTATGGCATAAACCTTTGTTCTGTTTTCAGAATAATAGAAATATTTTCGTAGTAATATAAAATAAATTTAATGAGTAAGATATAAAAATACTTCGAAAAAAAGATGCTAAATAAACTTGTGTCTAACAAACAGAAGTAATCTGGAATAAGACAAGATAGTCTTTTAAATTGCGTAGCTGAAAATGAAATTATACATGGGTAGGATTTTATTGAGGAAACTGTTGCTTCCAGTTTCTTTTTGACAAACCAAAAATAAAACCTCAGTAGGTAAGAGGGCTTCCTCGTGACAAAAATAAACAAACAAAACTGCTTTTTCATGATCCTGATTTTTGTGCTGCTGTGAGTCACTGATGAGTCACTGCAACCACTGAGTTCCCACATTGTACCAGCTGAGCCAAACAGGTTATCCTAATGTTGTGTTTGTAGTTTAGAATAGGATTGTGTTGTGTTTAAAGCTGCGCCATCTCAATAGTTTTGCTTGCAAATTATTATTTATATAAGAAAAAAATATTGTGTGAAATGATCATCTTACGTTATGTTCTTTTTTTTTTCTTTGTTTGTTCTTTCTGGTAATCCATATGTGTCAAACTCAAGGTCTGGGGGCCAAATCTGGTCTTTATTGACATTTTCTCCGGCCCCAAAGATGCTGTTTTAAATCCAAAATATTTTTAGTATTTTTTTTTCTTAAAATATACGTTTATTGTATTTAGTGCAGTCTTCTCAGGACCAACTTTAAAGCAAAGGGAGAAAAAGGCCAAAAACAGTAATTGTTTGATTTTGGTGTGAAGGGAGCAATAGAGAAGGTTAAATTGGACAAATCAAACTCCTGTTCATCGGCTTTAATTCAATTTTTTTGTATTATTTTCATATCGAAATCAAACAACTAGCTTTTAAGTGATGATTTTCTTTTTTTTAAGTGTTTTTATCTGAAATAATACATGAAAAAGTAGTTGAGAGAAAGTAAGACACAGGAAATGAAGAGAATTGACCACATTTTTTAATTCTGGTCCCTTATGTAACTGAATTTGACACCCCTGATTTAAACTCTTAATATTTCAGTCTAGCTTTAAAATATGCTTTTTATGTGGTATTTCTCGTGCAGCCAAATATTTATTACACAATTTAATAAGAAAAACGGGCGATCTAATGAAGTGATGTGATTTATGTCTTTAAAGTGCAGCAGGGGAGTTTTTGTGAGAGGAGGCTGTCCACAAGTTGCCTCACTTCCCTTTTCTCCTCTGCTGGCTCCAGTTGGGTAACGTTGATTTCAGTTTGCTTCAGTTCCTGTTGGTTGCAGGAGGAAAATGTGCTGCAGCAGCTTGAGCTTTCGTCTTCTCTCTTTTTTCTTCAAACCAACACTTGCCGTGAGGTCTGGATAATGTGTTCCATCAAAGTTTTATTTATTTTTGCTGCAGGCATCAGTTTCTGTAAAGGTAGGTGAGATTTTCATGATTGAGTGTTGAAAAAAGTGAAATAATCTGTTTCGACTGGTCAGTTTGGGGAGTTTTTTTAAGGGAAATGCTGTGTTTTTGGTTTCATGATCATCTTAATCATGGGTTTAAAATAATTTACAAATGTAAAATGTGAAAATAAATTCATCAGCACTGCTTTTATTATTGTTTTAACAAAATATAACATGTTTGATTTAATCCAGCACGTCTACTTACAAGATTATTTAGATTTTAATAAAAGAGATTCATTGTTTGACTGGATGATTTCCATGCAGTCTTTAAATCAAAATTCCTTTTTGAGTGTCAAATAAACAACAAAACAACCTTGAAAACAGTATAATTATAAATTAACTATATTTTTAGTGTCTAATGTGAGTTTGTGTGGCTCTAAAATAAAAAAAAAACATGAAATCTGAAATTGAAGCAATTTCTTTACATATTTGAACCAATCAAAAGCTCTAATCGCTCAGAAACGATGTAATCATCCATCCATCCATCCATCCATTTTCTTCC